GTCTTGAGCATTGAGGTCGGCGCCGTGTTCCACCAGAAACTGAACCATCTTTGGCTTGCCATCTATCACTGCCTGAAAAAAAAAACGATGCAGCATAATCAGCTGGCTAATAGATGCATTTACAGAAAGTTTAGTTAAGACTTGAAAGTACTAATCAACCCCCTCCCCCACTCAACCAAAGACATATACACTGTAATTGTTATCGAAAAATTATAGCCAGCAAATGCCAAAAATACGCCTAAATATCGTCCAAATCTATTAAATCATTTCTTGTACTTGAGGTGCTAAATTTCCATTGCACTGATCTTCAACGCTGTGAGCCTTCGCTGTGGTTCTGTGTGTCTTTTTTGCTTCGCTTCTTATGCGCCAAGCACATGACATGTGTTTATGCTAGCATATATATGTATATGTGTCCTGCTTGACGATTAAATAAAATGTGACTATAAAAAGCTTTGTTAGCACTGTGAAAGAATCAAGGTGACGAGCAGTAAGGCAGCGAATATATAAAGCAGTAAGGGAGCGGATATGTATACGACTTAATGGACCGAAACATTTCTTACCTACTTTAATAATTCTTTTCATGTTTTTCATCATTCTTTCTTATATTTTTTCTTTAATCTTAAATAAAAAGGATAATATGAAGAAATCCAAAAAACTTGCTAAGGAGATGCTCTCATTAAATTTATCTTCTGAAAGTGATGGTTAAACCTCAAATGCAGAGACCACACCACGTTCCACAGAAAGAGAAAATTTTGCGTTTCATCCCCATTACATGCTATTTTTTATGGTTTTTTTGCATCTATGCAATGCAGAAAATGCATACTGACGAGGAGTTGTCTGCGTGCGTGTGTGTGTGTGTGTGTGTATGTGTGTGTGCCTGTATGTTCGTCTGTGCCGATCTTTCATCTCGAGACTTACAAAAGCCACAAAGCTAAAACTTTGTGAACTACATGCATGTACGGGCCTCCATCCCCAAAAAATGGGCGCTGCTAGCGCTAATTCTTTTAGCTAGAAGCATCCTTGGAAAAACTGGAGAATTATGCAAAAAACGCATCTTCCCATTCGCAGTCAGTGCGCTGGCCAATTACTTTTTGCTTCTATATTACCTACAATAATCTGGTGATAAATGAGTGCTGTGGTACCTGATGTAAGGCTGTC